TCTAAGATGATTTCAACTTTCCACTGGGATCAGAACTTTCTTTCCAGAGTTTTTTTATTAAAATTTTAACAAAGAGCTTTGATTGATTCATTGATTGATTTTTTCCAACAACAATGTAAACCCCTGGTGGTCAAATAGGAGAATGTTTTTTGGACTAGATTTTTGACCCGGTGAACTAGACCATGAAGTGCAGAACATTTAATTGTGTGACAGTGAGTTTAATTCTATGTCCTGGTTGTCTCTGGTCCAGGTTCACCTCCAGGTGTCAGAAAATTGAAGTCTTGTAATCAGGAAGTTGTTGATTTAAATCATGACCAAGCTCAGACTGCAGTGTGTCAAATTCATGGAATAATTACTTTTAGAGGATTAATAAAGTACTGTTGTGTTCAGTTATTGAGGTCAGATGACTCACAGATGACATTTAATCACCTCTGTTCACATGAATCATTCCTACTGTCTATTATGTATAAACAGTCGTGTTTGTCTGTCGTGATGTTAGGGCTGTAGCCTACCAGAGAGTGACAAGTGTTAAAACACAGGTGTACAGTAACTCTCCCAGTCTCCCCAGTCGTGGGGAGACTTAGTGTCAGTCGTCAACGTTGTTTTCTGTGCTTTTATAAAAATAGTTTCTCAGTCTTTAAGGTGTTATCAGACCGGCAAGTCAAAACTGGTCTGACCTTGGAGGATTTGTGTGTAAACACTAACGTGCACCTCCAACTGTGCTGACGCACTAAGAAGTTCCTGAAATTAATATGGAACAGAGGAGATCAAGAAGCAGCTGTTTTCCACCAACGGTGATGTTGTAAATCAGATTAAAATGGTTCAACAGACCTTAGATTATTGGGCTGATATCTGTAGACAAAAAGACAGCAGATAATCAGATGACAGCTCATCCTACTTATATGTATTGTGTACATATACATATACACACCCACACACTGTCATCATAAACAGTGTCTCCACCTGCACCTGTCGGTCCTGTTTAGTTACCTAATGAAAGAACAAACAAAGACTTGAGTACGAGTGTTTTATTGTTTCCTTTTCTCACTTTTGACATTTGCGTGTGACAAACTCAAAGTTTATTTCTTTGTTTAATGTTGTTTTAATTACTTTTTCAAATGACTCCACACTGTAAAATCCAATAACTATTTTCGTTTTAATAAAGTAGTTATCTTTACGTGGTTATCAAACATATGCACTGATTATTTATTTATTCATGTATTAGTGACGTAACGGTTACTTACATGGTGAAAAATCCAAAAATACTGAAGTGTTTTAAGTGAACATTATTTATAATTAAGCTGACTCACCTTGGTGTATTGTTTAATTCAGATTATTTTAGTAAATTGGACCTGTGTTTCGTTAAAGATATTTGAGGCTCTTCAATCACTGAAGTGAGGTTGCTGTTAAGTACATAGAACTTAGTTCAACTTAGATAAGTCTTACATGAACTAAACACAAAGTTGTCACAAATTTCACACGCAGTGATTTGGTAGATTAAAATAGTAATTCTAAGTGGTCTTTACTAATTTAAGTTAGTTATCATGTGCACATTACAAATTAGAATACACTTTTTGCACTACATGCGTGCAGCGGTGCCAAGTCTGCTCGAGCCGTCGGTTCCTTTCACCTCTGCCGCGGTGAACCACAGTCACTTAAAATGAGCGCTATTTGCTATAATTATCTTCTTTTTTTTTTTTTACACGGTTTTACTTCATATGTACCTTTTTTTACACGGTTTTACTTCATATGTGTTCATATGTACAGAGTTACTACAGTCTACTAACGATCTTTGAGTTCCTCCTGACTTCGACTGCCAATGCTGTGGACGCAGACAGGTGAATGTGGAGTGTCTTCTCTGATAGTTTACTATAGAAATGTTGTATTTATGTATTTTTAAATGACTAAGTTGTGTTCCAAACGCCATCGATCCATGACTGTTGTCCTAAATTCCATTCAGAACAACAATTGCCGCTTCTGTTTTTATTAAATATCTACGTCACCACAGTCTGCACTCTTGGTCCGTGTGTATTCAATTCCACAAACATGAAGTCAAATTTGAAATTTGAAGTAATTATGGCTCGCGGCAGTTACTGTGACCCGTGGTGACGAGCTGTTTGCGCACGAACGGAAAACCTGACGTCACTTTTTCCTATAGGATGAGTGACGTGGTGGAAACCAGAAATATTCATCTCGACTCTGAGGGGATTCATGCGCGGAATGAAGCGAAACGATGCGCGGCGAAGGGACCGTGAGCTCTGTCACAGCGTGTGTGTGCGTGTGCGTGTGTCATGCGACATTGAATCTCTCCTTTCCTTATAAGGAAGGCACGTCGTGCTCCTCCGCCATAGGCCCGGAGCTGCAGCCTGGGTTTTAACCCTCTCACTGCTGAATTTAATTTTGCAAACTGAAACAATGCAGTTGAGTCCCGCGTGTTCCTGTTCTCGTGGAAGGAACACGTTGTTCATATTATAGTAGGTCTTATAAATGTCTGAGTCACTCTGAACAAACAAACCGACATTTAAACGATGAGACTTGTTCATCTGGAACCAGCAGCAGCAGCTGTGCACTCGTGTATTTCCAGCCTTGGCAGATGCTCACATGAAGAACTCACTTCCTTAATCTTAACAAGTGAATTTCGAGCGACATTTTTTCAAATTGAATCATGGCTTTGCACATTCCAATGGTTAACTTTTACATTGTCCTGTTAGAGTGAAACTGGTTTAACACACAAACAGTTCTGCTGGATCCTTAGTTTTGTTTTTCTTTCTGAACATTGTTATATTGTTCTTTCCATCTTAATTCGTCCTTACTTCCTCATCAGGTTATGACTCTGCATCGTCAGTGGCCAAAGATTTTGAGTTTCTATTTTTTAATCCTCTCCTTGTCCTCTTCTTCATCATTCTCATGTTTTTAAAATCAGATTTCCTTCTGACTTTTCCTTCGTCCGTTCGTTCTTACCCTACATTTCACTTCTGTAAAATTACAGTCTAAACTTTAAGTAAATTATTACTATCTATATTTTCTTAGCTGATTATTTGTTGAAATATGTGTTGGTTATTTCCTTGTGTTTCTAAAAAAAACTGATAATTTTCTAACACCTCGAACCCCAAACTCAGATCTGCAGGAACAAAGTCTTATAAAAGGAATGTGGAGGGAAAGAAATATTTTTGTCATTTATTGACAAATTATGGACACAAATTGAGGTTCTCTCAGAAGAAAAGTAGAAAGGCTGATCTCAGCTTAACAAAGACTGCACGTTTACACAGAGCTTCGTCTGTGTGAAAACCACAAACCGGTGTAAAGCTGCTGGGAGCCGCTGAGTGACTCCTGAGATTGGGCTCCATCCCAGATGTGCTCCTGGGGAAGTTAGCCTTTGTTCCAGCCTGCATTACCATGGTTACCCTCCACTCATTATGTACCATAAATGTGTGTGTTTGTACTGGATGTCCAGTAGCTAACAGTTTGGTATGAAAAGCCGTACTGTTACAGCCCAGATATGTGGCCCAATGCTGTCTCTATGTCATTGTGGACCTCTACAGCAGACACTGAGTGACATCATCACTCCTGTGATGTGTTCTTTTTTTCTGTTCCTCATTGGTGTTTCATCTTTTCCCTCTCTTTGTCCCGTTGTGTCATATTCCTCGACTGGGCTCCTTCATAACTTGGCCAGTTTTGGCTGGCAGGAACTTGTGCTGTTTCTGTTGAGGCTTTGTTGCAGCCAAAAATAATTCAGCTCTAGGCTTTAAGACCAGCAGGGGATGATGGTGACCTACATGGGCCACTACGCATTCACAAGCTCCATTTTCTTACACAGAGTGAGAACTACAGCTGCAAATCCTCCCCACGCGGGCCGTCTGTGGATTTGTCTCCCTCTGTGACCTTGGCTGGCAGAAAATATGGAAATCTAGTCATTGTAATGCACAGAACAGTGGGTGAAGTCTGCCCACTGTTTGACTTCATACTGGCTCAGACTCATCCTACATCATCATCCCCCAACATTGTGCATCGCTACTGGATCAGATGCAAATATTTCTTCTTCACTAAGACTGTTTTGGCCTTCCAGGTGATAAATGCCTTTTTCCACAGTCTGGTGTGGTGTGTGATGGGCTGAGGATGTGATGTTGTGGTGTCAGGAGGCTGGGTTTTTTACCTGGAGCGAGCAAGTTAATTATTGGATTAGACATGAGCCAATCAGAGGGAGAGATCTGCAGAACAATCTTCACCTGTTGACCTTCAGATCAGCATGACCTTTACTGCTCTGTCACTATCTGTGCCCTGCCAGTCATCTTGTATGTATTATTTTATTTATGGCAGTTCAGTGCATATTTATTGAAACCAACCTAACAAAGTATCAGTACTAGTACTCCGTATCGCCATGTATTCCTCTATATTTCTAATACATACTTTGAAATTGTCAATAATGATGTTGAACAGTTTGAAGAGAGAGTTACCCACAATTCCCAGTTGGCCAACATCTGCACCAGTCCAGGACAGTAGACATGAGACATTCTGTTGGTGTCGTTTCATCATCTGTGTGTAGGTCCTCCGTTCTAGGGTTGTATCATGGAACGCTGTTGGCGTGTTGTTGCCCTACAGATGCTCTGTAGAATCTGCTGTGCAGTCGGTTCCTTCTGTGAATCCGTAGTCTTCATTTTGACTGATTTGTTACCAGAGACATTCATATAGAGACGAGGGGTGTCCTCCAGATAATCCAGATAATTCTGAATCAGAACATATTTCATTTCTGTAATATAAACACCTCTTCATGTTTTATGGTAATCCGGACCAGTCTTCACCTCCCACTCTGTCCGTGCAGTTGTGTGTGTGTGATTATTATTATTATTATGACGTTTTGCCCCTTGACAACACCTGAGAGCATGGGAACACCCCACAACCCCCACCCCTCATCCAATGTCCGCCTTCCTCTGACGTCACGCAGATGAGTATTTGCATAAAGTGTTTTGCTGCTGCAGCTTGAACTCCGCTGCAGAGGCTCCGATCTGAGGCGAGGAGCGAAGACAGTGAGCAGAGAAGACCCGTGCCCTGAGGAAGAGGAGGAGGAGGAGGAGGAGGAGGAGCAGTGCCTGTGTTTCACATCTGAGGAGCAGAGTGGAAGCGGAGGAGGAGGAGAGACGAGAATCGTCCATACACACACACACACACACACAAACACACACACTCGACCTGGAAACGAGGATAAAAGGTGTCAGAGACCAAACACACAGAAGGGGGAAAGACAAAAATATAATACAATAGGAGCCGCGCAGCTTTGGTTTGGATTTTGGATCGTGGTTCTTAAATCTTGGATCGGAGAAATGGAAGTAGCCGCCGCGGGAGAGCACGTCTTCGCGGTGGAGAGCATCGAGAAGAAGCGCAGCAGAAAGGTTGGTGATTTTAGGAACAACACTGAAGGACATTTTTATACACGCACACACACACATATGCAAATAGAGATGAGGTGGAGTTCCTTGTTTTCTTTATCCTTATCAACTGGGAAATATTTTTGGGTTACTGATGCGACAGCGGCTGCGCGTGTTTTCTGCGTAAAAGTCCCATTAAAGCCCGTGTGTGTGTCTGTTTTGTGCCACAGGGGAGAGTGGAGTATCTGGTCAAGTGGAGAGGATGGTCTCCCAAGTAAGTATCCTGCACACACACACACACACACACAGACCACGACAACAACCAGGAAAGCAACATTCGTCGCCCAAATGCGCGCGCGTGTGTCTTAATCGTGAATCTGTGCCCGCGCCTGCGCTTGTTCACGGTTCGCGGTAGCGCGTTTTTCCGGGTTTTGGACTCGATGATGGATGTACAGTTTCACAAACACATGCATGTTCGAATCCCCCAGTGTTCCAATTACAGGAACTGTGTCTTTAATGACAGACTGTGACTAAGGGGAAAATGGCACGTAGAGTCAAATGGAATCTGGTGATAATCACACACACACACACACACACGGAGCAGTGTGTAAAAGTTACCTCTAATGTACAGGGATGGAACCACGTTAGCGTAACACCCTCTAACCCTTAAACAGCTGTGACCATTGTGTAATAAAATGTCACGTTTTTATTGGTATAGGCCCAATAACTAACAGTTAGGTAGACCCCGTGCCCCTCCGCCCATCTCTGCTGTTATGTTACCATAGATCTTTTATAAGAAATAGCTGTGGCGACAGGGAGGCTGTTAAAGAAGGTGGAACCTTCTTCACTGACTAGAAGTAGTTCCTTCTGAGTGAAGGACTGTGGGAAAATAATGCTGCTCCATAATCCTGGTTCACCCATGGACATGGACCCACCAGCAGGTTTGAGAACTGCTGATTCTCCGTCCAGTGTTTAAACTCTTTATGATGACATATTCCCCTGGTTTAGTTATTACATGATTCAAACTCACTGACACTCACCCATATTCTAATACAACCATAACAGCTGGCCACTGTTGACCTCTCTCCCTCTGAACAGATACAACACGTGGGAGCCAGAGGAGAACATTCTGGACCCTCGACTTCTCGATGCTTTTCAGCTCAGGTGAGTGTGAAGAGGCGGTGTTAGGTTACCACACAATCTGGTTGGAATTCAACAAATGTTAGTGTTGTTGCTGTCCAGGCCTGAACAGCCATAGTCAGACAGTCTCTCAGTCGCAGGTGCGTTGGCAGGAGGAACCGTCAAAGGTCTGCAGTGTAGCGTTAGCTGTTATCAATTATTATACATCTTAGTCATAAACCTTCACCCAGTGTGGGAACAGGAGTCTGAGAAAAGTCTGTGAGGTGAGTCATGGAGTCAGGTTAGTGTGAAAGGTACAGCTCAGGTTGATGTGCTGACACCAAGTTAGTCCTGGAGGTGTCACTGTCCAATCACTGAACACATGGCTGAGAGTAAAGTCAATGGATAAAACTGGCCTGTAATGAAGATTCTCATAAAATGTATGATGAACTTGATTCTTGGTACTACCAACATCCATGAAAACAATTCACAAAAACACTTCCAAAAGTCTGAACTGTCCCTTTAAGAGCAGTGACAGGGGTGGGTCAGGTTAGGGGGTTAGAGTTACCCCAGCAAACTGTGACACTTTGTCATCATCTTGTCGTGGTCACCTGATCGTTCCTGGAGTGTCAGCTTCAGGTTCTGGGTTTTAAGTGCCTGCTGTTCCACCACCTAGTCACCAGATGCTCTGTCGTCTTCCACTGGACTCATGGTCGCAGCCAATTACACAAATGTCATGGATTATGCAAAGTGGTTAATTTGGGAAAACACCTCGTCCGGGATGATTAATTGCCTCGTCTCAGACTTTTGTCTGAAGTTGGATTCACAAAGACACAAACTTACGAAGAACCCTGTCTGTTCAGTTGAACCAACTGCATTAACAGAAAGATCTTTACAGAATATAGTTTCATCAGGTGTAATTAATAGCTTTACGGTGAAATTATTCACGCTAATTAGAGGTCTCGTTCTTAATCGTAATTAATAACGTTTTAATCAGTGAAAATTGTTTAAAGTTTACCAAATAAAACTAGTATTAGTCAAAGACAGAATCAATTAACAGACAACACTGTGTGTCTGTTGTCAACACCCAACATTCCTGTACATTCTTGTGAATGGCAAAGAAATGCTAGATGCATTACCGCCACCTACTGGGCTGGTGTGTACGCATGAGTGGCAAAATGTTCCAGAAATCAAAGCCATAAGAAATGTGCATTTAAATGAGTAAACAGAGAGAGAAAAAAACACCTCCAAGACCCAGCATTACTATATAATTATCTCTTTGGAATTAGAACAATTTTTTTTTCTTAATTATTTCATTTAGGGGAGGATTATTCAAGGAAAAAAAAAAGTAAATTATAAATTTGTACCAAAGAATTTTCCTTGTGTTGTGTACAAGGCTCTCTCTACACCCATTCATTCCAGTGTGGACCAGTACAGTCCTAGTACTGGGATGATGTGAAACAGCCTTTGGGTTTGCTGAAAAGACAGATCATAGTGAAAATTCTGTAAATAAATGAAATAATGATCCAGTGTTCCAGTGTCACTGCCTTTCTCTCAGCCTCTCTTGGCTTTTGCTCTGCAGCAGTCTCAGGTCAACATCACCCCAGCGTCTGTTTTCACAATTACGGCTCTCGCTACAAGGGGAGCAATTTTATTGAAACTAATTGCGCGTCTCCTCAGGAGCCGGATCGTCTGAACGCCAGGCTATGAAAATACATGGAGATGTGTCATTGTAATTAGATGTGATGGAGCATGCTGGGGGGAGGAGGGGCTGACATCACCACAGTCTATGGTGTTGAGTTACTGCCTGGGGGGGCGGGAAGGGGGTGTGAATAGAGACGAGGTGAGGGGGAAAAAAGTCAAAGAGGAAGAGTGAACTCATTATCTGCTACTGTTGATGAGGGCGGGGGGTGAGGGGTCTCCACCAGTTAAAGTCTGCTCCAAATTCCCAGCATGTAGTATTAGGCACCAGTACACAGCCATGGTCACAGGAGTACACAGGTTTGGGTTTTTTATACTACAATTCACTGTCTGTTTTTGGAACAGTAAAAAAAAATGTGTGTCATAACAGTGACCAGAACTGACTGTTTGTCTCCATCACTTTTTTCTCTTGTTTGTTGGGCTCATCTTGAGATCTGGTCCATTAGAATAATGTAATAAAAAAAATGAAGATGGTTTCACTGACGCTGCTGCTCTTTTTCTGTCTCACAGAGAACGTCAAGAGCAGATGATGGGATACCGCAAGAGAGGACCTAAACCCAAGCACCTGCTGGTTCAGGTGAGAGAGTCACATTACGTCATGTTGTTTGGTCCACTTTAACTGAACCAGGGTCGGTTCCCTCCAATGGTGTGCTTTGTTTTGGTCCATGTAAGAGCTCATTTGCATGTTGGTGCCGACTTGTTGTACATGTTCTGCTGTCCTGATCTCAGTGAAGTATCCAGTGTCTGTGGTCATGGTACAGTCAGGCACCAACAAATTTATTCCACTTAGACCAAAAAGACAATAGGGTGTGACAGGTGTTGATTGACAGCTGTACTGTCCAATGGCAAAAGTGTTAATGTATCAAAGTGTGTATGAAGTTCTTGACGTGAGGTCGTGTATTTCTAAGCTCTAAATTCCCCTTGAATTCCCGGGCCCTGAAATATTCAAAATTTCATTTCACAAAAACGTGAAGAATTTTGTAGATGGTTGAAGGTACCGAGCAGATGAAGCTAAAGACATGGACAGTAGAAGTAGGTTCTCCTGACCACACGGCCCCGGGATGACCTCAGTGGAGCGTCATTGTTTCTCTCAGGAGGGTGTTGGTGCTAAAGCAGGGGATCAAGTCAATGACAGGACGCGGAGCGAGCGGCGACATTCCTGCAGTCTGAGGTCACAGCTACTGGAGCCACTTGGAAAATGTCCCTGTGATGATCTGTAGGGGGCCTGTGAGAACACGAGCCAGGGCCCCTGAAATAAAGCGCTCTCAGCCTGGCCTCTTCAGGGCCCCTTCACACATTCCACGCACGGCTCTCAGCCCAACTCACAGGCCGCGGTGAACCACAGCTTTTTGTTGTGGCCTGACACAGACGCATGTGTACACTCTGTAGACAGTTGCACCATTAATCAAACGCCCAGCCCACAGGGAAGTCTTTTATTCGACTTACTCAGTACAACACCAAAAATCCCCCAGTACTTCTTTCAGTACTCTGAGCTGTGTCTTCATTACATTTGTACTCTCTTTCCACAGGTCCCGTCATTTGCCCGTAGATCCAGTATTCTAAATGACCTTCATGAAGCTTCACTGGATGAAGAAGATGAAAAATGTGATAGCACCAGCCCTGTCCACGTGCTCCGTCCCCAAGGCACACAGTACCAGCTGAACAGTACCAATCACCACAAGTACCAGTCACTTTGCCGGGAGAAGGAGATGGAACCACCGACCAATGGCAAGAAGTTCTTCTATCAGCTGAACAGCAAAAAACACCACCACTACCAGCCAGACGTAAAGGATTTCAAGGTGCATGAACCCACGTTTGTCAAGCCCCCGGAGGTCAAAGTCCCAGATCTGGCCAACAAAGGGTACAGTCTTCCTCCGGTGCTACAGCAGAAATGGATTCGGGACAAAGACTCTGGCTGCCTGACCAAAATTAAGGACATCACGATGGAGCTGAAGAAACTTCCAGCCAACCTGAACGGCCACAGAGAGTCCCAGAGCACGGGTCTGAAAGAGGATTCTTTGCCTCAGTCTAATGGTGTTAGCAGCAGCAAGCTAAAGATAGTGAAGAACAAAAACAAGAACGGCAGGATTGTTATTGTCATGAGCAAGTACATGGAAAACGGAATGCAGTCGGCCAAAATTAAAAATGGTGATTCTGAACCGACGGGGAATCCGGAAAGTGGTGCCGAGAACCACTCTGAAAAGATGAGACTGGTCCAGAAGCTCGGCCTCACAAACGGGTTTGTGAAAAACTCTGGAGACGGATCAACTGTTTCAACTTCTGGGTTTAACGGGGATGCCCCCCAGGAGAGGGAACAGTCCACTAAAATGCAGCCAACTGTGACAGAACAGGCTAAACATGTCGGGGTCAGGGTTCAGGGGCAGCTTCCAGCAGATCAGCTTTTACAACTGACAACCAAGTCTAATCTGCCCTCCCTGCCTGTGGATAGGGGAGTTCCCTCCGCTTTGGACAAAAGGGAAACACAAGGTGGATGTCAAAGACTTAAACGGCCCCTCCATGACACCGGCACTGAGGACTGTGGGACGACCAAGAGGTTTTTGAGTTCCAGGAGTTTCCTTGATGCTAGCGCGGCACCTTCCCCCACACAGAGCACCAGCGTCGACCAAAACGGACAGCGGAGTCTTGAAGGACTGCAGGTCTGTGGCTACACAGACCAGGAGGAACCCATGGACCTTAGTATGGTCAAGTCCAGAGCTAACAGTGAAGCCTGCACGTCAGCTCAGCCCCAGGCACAAACAACTGTTGAAACTCTAGTGTGCTCTCAGGACGAAAAGCACACCCAGACACAGACGGACTCACAAAGAGAGACACAGACCCCGACGGAGACACGGGACACTTCAGAGGAGCTGGACGTTGACTCCTTGTCTGAACCCAACAAGGAGAAGAGGAAAGAGGAGACCTTTCCCTCCTTCCAGTCGTTTCTTGGGAACATTGTCATCACGGACATCACCACAAACTGCCTCACCGTCACCTTTAAGGAGTACGTGACCGTGTGACAGAGCTGGACCTCAGATGTACCGCTGCACACATGTACACTGTAAAAAAAAGTTGATTTTTAAAAAAAAAAATTGAATGTAGAAACAAAAACAAACTATTCCTGTTTCTTTTTATGAAGTTCAGAAAAAAAGAGTTGCTCTTTTACTGTGTCATCTGCACCTTCTTATATAAGCTCGTCACTGACCTGCTCTCACTGGCACATGTTTATCACACACACTTTTCATTTTAGCTTGAGTCTCGTTTACACCTCTGCTGTGCATTGTGACCTCTGACCTCATCACATCACACTGTGGCTTCAGTCAATGAAGATTCATTCAGTCATTTTATTCAAAAATCAAGTTCCAACTGTTGTTCTAACGTGTGACTTTTCAGTTGTTTGGAGCCTCAGTCTGTTTCACACTAAACACAACGGTCTGTTTATCTGATGGAGCGCCAGGGTGTTCAGTACGAAAGTTAGAAAAAAACGTAACTTTGAGTTAAACTCAAAGAACAGTTAGGAACATTTCAGTCCTTGGATGAGGTAGAGAAGCAGGTTGTCTTAGACCTGTTGACTGGACCGTAGCCCCTGGAGAGAATAACTGTGAGAGTGTTCAGCTGAGCTGTAGTATGAGCTCACATTCCATGATCACATGGTAATGACTTCAGACTAAACTCAGAATTAAGAAGTTGGACTTCCACATTCAACCTCTGCAGAGAAAAAGTCATGCTTCATGTTTCTTAAAACTTTTTTAATGTCCTCAAAACTCAAACTACAAAAATTTCCATGAACCTGATCTTTAGAAAAGTGACACCACCCTGGTGTGTGTCGCAGTTAAACAGAACTGAGTGCTGCTTGGACCCATCAGCTGTTGGACCTGCTTGAAAAAGCAGATGTAGTTAAAACAAATGAAGCTGCTTTTCCCTTAGTTGATGTGATTTATGTTGGAATGGAAGAAGTGAATATTATTATTATTATAATTATCAACCCTCATTATTCCTATTCCTTCCTGTTACTTTTTTTATTGTTCAAATTCAAGTGTTTTTCTTCTCAAAATCAAATTTTGAGGAGAGAACAAACCACACAGAACATATTTATTCCCGTATTGTCACTGCTGTCCTTTTTTTTGGGGGGTGATAAAACCAAGAATGTAATCAAATAAGAACCCAGTGGCAGACTTGGTTCAGCACGCCCAGCTGAGCTGTGTGACCAACAAACTGGCTGCACAGGGATTCACCTTCTGACATATGTACAACGTATGAAGCACTTGTGCCATAACTGGTTATAAAGTATGTGTTTTAATCCCATCTGTTCTCTGCTGTCAGAGCTCCAACAAAACAGGTGTGTTTTCTGCAGAACAATATATTTGCAATAAAAATTGTTGGAAAGTCACACTGGAATTTTGGCTCTACTTTACACGCACACACACAGCCTTCAACCCCTGTAGTGGTCCTATGGTTCAGCTCATGTCAGCACACATTTGTATCTATTTTCTATTGCTCTTTAGTGTCTATTTTCTCTAAATAGGATTTTTCAGTTAGGGCCAATCCCAGCAGTCATTGGTTACAGGGAACCAGGTCTTTTAATAGGGCGCCTCCTTCTAGAGGAGGTACACCCTGGACAGTTCAACACACCGCCACAGGCCTCTGTAGCCACATGATGGACAGGAGAACTGTCCATGGCTCATGCCTGCTCTGATTGGCTCCACCCCTCTCCTAGGAGGTCAGCATAATTTGGCTGTTTTAGCACCACCTGGGGTCTATCCATCCTACTACAGTACCACCTTCTGTGTCTGAGTCGTGATCCTACCACCCCTGTATCCATGATGTGATATTCAACACTTCTCAGGCAGCAAGCGTTGGGGAATCCCCTCCATGGAGGATTAAGGATGGCACTATTGTCGGTGTTTAATGTTCTTTTCTCTCTAGGTCAAAACCACAGCCAGGATCTGGAGGAACAGGTTGTGTAATCACTTTTATAAAACCTGATCTGTGTGAGATTTTGTAATAACATGTTCCTTCCTGATTTGTGTTCCAGGGCCTGGTCTACAGAAGCACTTGATCATGTGAAACCTTGTGACTTTATAAGATGAAAAATATATAGTAGCTCTGTGGCAACATATGAACTTGTATTCACACTAAACATCTGACATCTTTGAGTCATTTAAATAACAATGCTGTGCTAGAACAGAGCTCAGTGACCAGAGACCTGATGTCGTATGTCTAACATCTCACAGCCAAGAGAAAAACTAGATCACAGGAAATAAAATCTGTAAAAACTCCTGGACAATTTCTCCTGGGTCCAAAAAGCAAGCAAATCAACGCAGCAGTGTTCTCCTCTGGTCGCTGACAGACAACCCACTTTTACCTGACATGATCAGGTCAGATGTTACGATTAGACTTTGAAAATGAAGACGGGAATAGTTGAGTCATGTTTTCAGCTGCTTGATATGTTTGAACTTGTGATCGTGACCAAACCCACTTAGACTGGTGTAGTCTGAAGGTCTACACCAGTGGCTCTCAAATGGAGGCCCGCAGTCCACACCAGGGTCCATTTTGAAGCAGTATGCTTGTTGATACTTTGTCCTCCAGTCTATATTTATAAAGACCCCCAGACCCATCCCACCCCCTCCAGCCCCAATATATTAGTTTTGGATTCTTTGCAGGCATCTTTTTTTAGTACTTGAATTTATGTCAAATTTTGTTTTATTTCGGTGTGTTTCTCTGTGGTTGTTGATGTTCCATATACAGGACATTTTGTTTTGAATGACAAATGTCATGTCACGTGACTCCATGTTGTCTCTAAGAATACTTTAAAGGATAAATCCTTGGATTTTTTATAATTTCTTTTTAAATATCCTGCATTAGATCCATCCACATAATCAAGAATGATATGTACCTTGGATTGCATCATTTAAAATTGAAATACAGATATGAATTATTAAGTTGAGTTTAAATCTGTTCATGCAAATCTTTAAAATCTGTCTGTTGTTCCAGTAACGTCCGCGATGCTTATTTGTGTGTCTGCATGGTGGGGTGTGAGAGACGGTGTGTGATGGTTCCGGTTTTGTGCACCAGGATCCCTCGTCTTGCCCGGATACAGTGCAGCCAATGGTGTGTGTTTCATCCGCTGATGCAGGCGCGCCACCGACTGCCTGTAGAAAAACCTGTGCTGCTGCTGCTGAAGATACTGCTGCTGAACTCTGCTTGTTTGTCATGATAAATATATCGTCATATATGTGACAGCGACCGTTAACACTGTGTGTCTTTGCGGACCGGATGTGGTTTGACCATAGTCTCTGGATGTGGAACGGCTTTTTCACCGCAGCTCCTCCCTCCTGACACAGATCGTTTATCAGGTTAAAAAAATATATATTTTCAGTCAGTTAAACAATGGCCACCTTGTACAACAACAACAAAAAAATTCTCAACAAGAGCACCGCACAGTATAGATTAAGTAGAATCCTTGCCATTTAAAGAAAATCAAATTACAATATTTGTTCTTTATTAATCTTTAGTTTTACCACCCCTTTCCTAATCCCAGTTGTTGGATTAATTGTCAAAACGTCATCGGTTGCTTTTAAAGGTACACCGAAGAGGATTTAGCAACATCTAGTGGTGACGTCGCGTTGTGTCTTACTCTCGTTATCTCGTCATTATTTGCGACGCATTTAGAAAAACAAAAAACACGCGGTTGCTTCTTCGTTATTATGTAAAATAATCACATTGAATGTAATGTAGCGGTCAGAGCCTTGATGATCAGATGGTTCTATGGTCTCAGATCCAGACTGAGCTTCGTGAGCTTCAGTTCTGGTTCAAGCCCGCTTCTGTTAACTAAGCCTTCAGCTCAGACTGAGTTCTTGATATCTTAGCTTATTTTTATTTAGAGCCAAAGTCTTTGTTTTGTTATTTATTGATTCCTTGCGCTCAAAACACGACTCAGAAGGCACAGATCTGTTTATTTATTTTTTTAGGTGTGCGCCATTATGGCTGAGAACTCAGGACTGTTTTTAAATAATTTTAATTTGATTTAATTCTGTTCTAATTCCATACTCACCTTATTTTAACGCGTCAGTGTGTCTTTTTAATACTCCAAAAGTTCCGCAGAAGTTGGTTTAAACATGTTTTTATTTTAAGACAAAGGTTTCGTACACGAATGATAAAAATGTTTGAATTTTAATATGAGAAAGTAACAGTAATAAATAATTAAAAACTCATCAAACAGACTGAGCTCGAACCGGAACCAGAAAAACGCTTGGGACGGACGACAAAAAAATGCTCAAATCTCCGTAGATCGAAGAATTACTGACAGGCAGCAGACCTGTGTCTGTTGTTAAACGCGGCCTGATAGAATGTATTCACATGAAAAATAAATTAACAGTGTTTTCATGTGTTTTTATTGGGTACATTGTGTCAGACACGCACGATATGTTCACGTTTTATTCTGTCTGATGTGTACTGTAATCGGTACGTATTCAAAATTAAATAATATTTTACATATATTACAAACATGAAAACGGCCCAACCTTATAATAATAATACTACTATTAATAAGGATAATAATAATAATTATTATTATTATTATATAATATCTACTCTAACAAGTAAAAAAATATAGTGATATGGAACGTAATTAAATAATAAATAAATAATAGCAATAATTGGTACTTTCGTGTGTAAAGTGTACGCACAGGACGCCATGTTTTAAAAATGTATTTGATTATTTTTTTTAAACGCGTTATTTACGAGAAAAAAACATGGAGATTTGCGTTTGTTGTTATTTCTGTCCCAATATTTTCAGTTGGGGGATTGCATATTCATTTCTTGTGTATTATTATTATTATTATTATTATTATTATTATTATTATTATTGTTGTTGTTGTTGTTGTGCGATAGTAAAATGAAGACGGAAACGAAAGGAGAATGTTGCCTTAAAACCCGTACTTTTAATATTTGCAATAGCCGTGCTGCATTTCAGGGCAAAACTAAAATCAGTAAAACAGATAATTATCGTTCACTTTTTCCCGTTCAGTTAATATTTAAATTATCTTTACGTCCAAACACTTGCAAAGCCGCTGATATTAGTGACTTTAGAAACTAAGTGTTAAAGACAAAACTAGAAATTAGTAGGGTTGAGTAAGTATAATTTCATAAAATATACGTACAACAATATTTTAGATCTACGCCAAATATTTTAACGTCGAATAAAACATCAGCCAATGGGTATTTAATCGTTTTCAATAACAATTTAAACAACCGTATATATTTTTAACATTCATCTTAGAACTTAACCCGTCTTTAGGTTGGATTCACTTTGATCTTTAAAATTAAAAGTCGACACTAACGAACAATTCCAACCTCTTCCGAACACATGACCCGGACAGTTAACCGACTTAATAAATATTTAATTGACGCCTTATTGTTGTATATTTATAACGGTAAAAACGTGTTGTCGTTTTTATATCTGGTTAATTTTTTTTTTTTAGTTTAGTATTTTTAGTTTATTTGTTTTAATTTATTATTTATAGTGCTTTATTAGCCGGGCGACGAAAGCGCTTGCTGCCCCTTTTAGGCCCCGCCCTGTCCTATTATGAACCAGGACACGCGGAACAGCGTCTAAACCAATCAGTGTACGTCTCAAGGTTCCACCGACTGCCGTTTCCTAGCAACACTGTTAAAAAAAATGTCCGTGACGTCTACTCTGTTCTAGAGTATTATGGTCTGTCGGGAATCCAGAACGGCGGTGAGCGGAGGAGGAAAAATATCTGCACTGCTAAGCTGCTAACACTGTGCTGCTGTTAGCTTCTGTTAGCTCTGCCTGCTAACGGTAGAAGCACTGGAGTAAACATGGAGCTGTCCGCCGTCGGGGAGCGAGTGTTCGCCGCTGAGTCCATTATTAAACGCAGGATAAGGAAGGTGGGTTTGTTAGCCACGCATACTCGGGGGTGGTAGTTATGATTTGAATGCACTGCAGTATCTGTGTAAGAGCCTCAGTGTTGCCCTTGGTGCTAACACACAAGTGCTTTCTGTTTGTTTCTGATTGCACGCAGGGTCGCATTGAGTACCTTGTGAAATGGAAGGGCTGGTCCCCCAAGTAAGTGGCACTTTGTTTTTTTTTCCCGCAGAAAATCCTCTGTCATTTAGACCGACACAGTGAGCCGTTAGCTCTGCGGGAGCTAGTGAATTAAACACATAACTGTCTCGTTATGTACGTATGTAAATAATTAGGAAAACAGCACGATGGAGAGATTAGCTCGCAGGCTAACGCAGCCATGTACAGTACACTGCACATGTAGCCCACACAAACAGACTGCTGCTATTTCTGTGGATGCGCGCGTGTGAGTAAGTGCGTGTTTCAAACCCGCAGATACAGCACCTGGGAGCCCGAGGAGAATATTCTGGACCAACGGCTGTTTGTTGCTTTTGAGCAGAGGTGAGATGTTCACCATATGTTCACTGATGTATGTGATTGTTAGTTTATATATGTATATGTGCCCGTGTGCGCGCGTGTGTGACAGTAAGTATGTGCACTTTGCTCTGTGACAACCGTTAAAATGGGAGTGTGCTCCTTACACAGGGAGCGGGAGCGGGAGCTTTACGGACCAAAGAAGAGGGGACCTAAACCCAAGACCTTCCTGCTCAAGGTAAATGGAATAATCCATCAGCATGCTGAAGACGCTGCATTTCAAATGCAGAGATGATTATTATGGTCCTCTTCGATAGAGACAAATGCCGTTATTGATCGGGTCACACCATTTTCGGACGATTTATTACTGTATTTTATAAACAAAAATCACAAAAATAAACTGATAATTATAAATGACTAATGAACATGTTTCAAAATATTGTCATAAAATTATAAATAAAGCCTGCACTAATTTCTCCTGCACGAGCACCTGATGTTAACAGAAAAAATATATAATTTAAATATCTTTAAATATTAAAGGGATTAAATATTCTAATTGATTGGCATGTTAAAAATAGCTTTTTTTGTTTTCCTAGCACATACTCTATTTTACATAACTTGGTTTACCTATGAGGTACAAACATGTTGGTTTGTACTTTTCATTTGGTTCCACAAAACAAAAATTTGAACCTACAAAAATTAAGAAAAAATGCTAAAATTGCTGCTAAAAGCACTCAAACTTTATAAAATTGCCCATGGATTTCAGGACTCTGACTTTTTGACATTGAGGGTGAATGCACCACAGAGAAAACAGCTTCTGTTAATGGTTTGGGTTATGGTCCCTTGTTTTACTCTCCAGTCAGTCAGTTTTCAAACAGATTTGACTTTAATTCAAGTTACTGATGGCCATTAAGGAGAATAATGGAACTCAGTATTCACCTTGGTTTCAACAGGAAATGAGGTTTGTAGGAGGTTTGAACAGAGGCAGTCTTTAAATGCAAATGGAACCAAAAAATGTCATCTGGTAGTGGACCACTTTTATGCTTTAATTAGACATAAAATGCATGAAATTAACAAAGTGAACTGTGGTCTTCTCTCTCACTCCCACCCCAACCCTTTACCACTTTACTTTCCTGTGGGAATAAAAATGGAATCGGGGTCACAAGTTTAAATTTTACGACCAGAAAAACGGAGCAGTAAAAAGCACACGAACACACCTTCTGTCTTTGACTGTTTGCCACAGCTGATCATTTTGTTCTCAATTATTGGTCTGTGTAAAAAGGAGACACCAGATGTATATGTGGGGGATGTCATAATTCAACATAATTTAAAAAGGAGTTTGTTGGGGTTTCTTTTAACTTTTAATCATTTTCCTCACATGTTCGTTTCCCAACACATTCATTCTGTGGTCGTCATTGACATTTGTCACCTCCCTGTGTATTTCACTAGGTCCTTAATGACTCACATTATATGATAAGGAGGAGAAGTGACCCATTAGCAGCTGTTTGTTCAGAGTGGTGATCATTATTTTCTTGGTTCTTATAGTTTGGTCAAAAACCTCTCAGGGGCAGTAGTTCGAGTTAATTAGTTGATAATTAATCTCAGAGTCTTGTTATAAATGTAACAAGGCCCTGATGGGTTTTTTTTTAGAGATTATCAGGTTGATAATCTGAGAACAGCAGTCAGGTTAAATACCAGAATGTTTCGAACAAGGCTGTGGAATGTCTCTCATAAATCCAGAGGCCTGACAGGAGCCTTCTGTGTCTTCCTGTGGCTGTTGTTAAAAGTCTGTCGGCCTTCACCGTCACTCCACTCTTTCTCACCTTCTCTGAGTTGTTTCCCGTTCTGAACAAGAATCTGACAGTAGCTGTTTAACCCTGTTGACATTTCCTAAGAAAGTTTAATGAATTCATCTTTATAAATGCTGAACTTCCATTTTGTTCTCTTTTTCATCACTGTTTTATTCCAGCCTACATTAAAACAGGAACAGCATTCAGTTTAATTTATGTTCTCTTGTGCCACATTTTCAGCAATTAAAAAAAAAATCTATACTGTCATCATTTAGCTACATTGGTTAACTTTAAGCTTCATGTCTAATTATATAACATGCACTTGTTTTTATTTGTTTATCAGACGGTTTAGTGCTTATTTTGTTTTAATTTGCCCAGTCTTTTGTTTATTTTCTAATCTTCTTCGTGGGCCTCCAGCTCCTGGTTTTTCAGTTTTTTCAAACTGTAGTTTTCTTACAAAACTGAAAAGAAAATAATACAAAGTGAAAACAACACAAACACAATGTGATTCTAAACTAATCAATAATTACCAACCTTTCATAAATCCAAACCTAAAACCACTGACAGGGAGGACCACAGAGGGAGGAAAAGAACTGGCTGAGATTTTTCAACTTTGAATTAGAAAATAAATCACTTTTAAAATAAACTTTAGGAAAAAAACAACATGTTTTATATGTAATCTATTTGTACATTTTTAGGCCCAGGCTAAAGACAAGCTCAGGTCCTATGAGTTCCGGAACGAGTCAATTCGAGGGAGGCCCATCTCCTACCAAACCCCCGATGCCGTGGTCACACCCAGAGCAAGAGAGGGCCTCCGAGCCGTCGTTCCCACCATCTACCCACCCAGTACGGTCAACCGTGGAGAGAGCATATGCGTCAGACAACTAGAACTCAGCAGCATTGAGCACCAGGAACCTCAGCAAACCAGCACAGGTGGACTTGTGCACATACCCAAAAAAAGAGGGCCGAAGCCTAAGCCTCGCTTCAAGGACAACGTCTGCAGCAGCATCTCCACCCTGCCAGTCTCTGAGCCTCAGAAGAGGAGGGCGGAGGAGCAGGAGAGTCACAGTCCTCACAAACTGGCCAAGTACCAGGAGCTGGAGGAGATTAGGTTGTTCAAGGCAGTTCACAGACATCCTGAGAACCACGCTCACAGCCGCAAACATCACCACCACCACCATCATCACCACCATCAACAACAACAACAACAACAACAACAACAACAACAACATCAGCACCACCGTGACCAGCACCACTACTCGGACCCCAGGCCACATCCACACAGGACAGACCTGGACTCTCACAGGACTAAGGAGGCCTGCACCTACCTGATGCCCACTCACTTCAAGAACAAGTCCAAAATGATTCCCAGCCAGAGACGCCCAGCCCAGCTTCCTCTCATGGAGAAGCCCTACTTCCTGGACAGGCCGTCTCCAACCAGACTGGACGATGACATGGACAAAGTGTCATGGAGGCCGACTCTGGGCAGCGCCGAGAAGGTCCTGGTGACGGATGTGACCGCCAACTTCCTGACGGTCACCATCAAGGAGAGCAGCACATCTAAAGGGTTCTTTAAAGAAAAGAGATGATTGTTCTGTTGATTGTTCTTTTGTTACATCTTTGTTTTCTGTCACTGCAGCAGTCACTGGTGTCTAAAAGACACAGTCGTTTTTGTATGTATGTATTTTATATATATATATATATATATATATATATATACACACACACATATATATATATATAAAGGCAAATGACATAATGTGCATATGTATATATGATAAAGCTGGCCACCTATTTAATGAATCCACCAAACGTTTTCCAAGTGTTTGTTTTGCAGCAGCCACAAGCGTTACTTCCTGTCGTGTACTCTCTGCAAACACAACTCAATTTGGGTATTTTTTATATATATATATATATATATATATATATATATATATATATATTCACTCAATGTTTGGAGTGAATTTATGTCCGTTATTTTATAACATTTTGAATTCTGGATTTTAAATCCAATTTCTACCCATTAAAAAAGATCTAAACAATTTGATGAACTTAAAATGCCCTGTTTATTTTTTTTTAGAAATGTATATTTAATTAAAAGATAGCTCAAGCACTTTGAATGTAAAAGTATTAAGAAATAACTTTTTTTTTTGTTTCTGTTCTTGTTTTGTGAAAAGTCTCTAACATTTCTAACTAAGTTTAATTCACTCAGAAACATTCACTCTCTTTAATAAGAAACTCCTCCCTGGTCACTCTATATAAACTACTAATTTCATTATAAGTATATATTAAATATTCACGCATCACTGATGTAAAGACAAACAATAATATACGGCTGGTGTCAGGTTTCCCTTTTTGACACTGTTTCTCAATAAATACCTAAAGTTTTGTCATTTAAAAATGTGTTGATTTGTTTTTCTGTTTGTTGCCGCAGTTACAGTTAGATTGATTCCCTTCATTGATGTTTTTTTTTTTTTTATCCTGGCAACACATTTAACAGAATGATTCATGACCAAGTCGGTAAGAACGTTCCGTAAAAAAAGCCTTAACTTCGTTTCGTTTAGATTACCTTAATGGACACTGCTGTGTTTTACTGTGGCCGTCAATATTATATTTACTAATTATCAAACATACAGACCAGATCAGGCCGTTTTATAAGCGCTTCTAGTGGAAGAGGCCTTTCCCCTAAATTGGGTGAGGGGAAAAATAAGATAAATAATAATAATAAAATGATCTAATTTTCACTTTAATGTATGAACCCTAAATGTAAAAGGAAAAACGAAGCGTTGACGTCAGAAATCAAATTTAACTGTTGAAATGGTGCGTTAACGCTTTGTATAACAGTGACAGTGTACGTGTATAAACGTCATCACTGTCCGACACAGACGTTAACGAGTCCTGTTTAAGGCCTGAGTAAGTCTAATGATAGTGTTCCAATTATTTCCCTTCGTCGGAGGTCGCAACAAAATTGTTAACTGAATAAAAAATCCGAAGTAAATTGTAGTAGAACCGGAAGTGGTGTTTTTAAACCCCTGTTCACTTTAACTTACATTTCTACAGGCGCTGAATGAGTGTTTTACGTACAAGTCCGATGGCGCAATAGACATAGAAGGAATATTTAATTTTTCACCCCATCAAATATGATGAAACTTTTAGATTTTGTTTGAGTGGAAAAACGACCTGTTTTTTATTATTATTATTATTAAAGATCTCACAAAACGAAAAAAGGACCGGGTGTTTTATAAAATTATAACTAAAAAAGATTGTGAAGTGAAACCGCATGAAAGCTGACGACTCAAGTTCCGTCATTCATTTATTCAAAGATATAATCAGGAAATTATTCATTAACTATATATTAATTCGACTATTTTTGCCAAAAACACAATGAGTTAATTTTCCATAGCGTTGACAAAACAAATATAGAGTTGAATCATCACCAGGATGACGTCAGACTCATCCCCGGGTTTACTCCGTCTAACCAGGCCTCTGTCTGCAGGAGGATCAGCTGCGGTGACTGGTCAGATCCCGACAGACCGACAGTAAGTCGGAGAACCACTAGGCCATAGACCGAGGGCCCTGAACTCCCTGCTTTTATTTATGGCCTAATGATCATCCAATGTGAGCACAGAAACTTCTGAAGCTCATTAACTGCGTCCGCGTCACTCGGTCTGACGTCACTGGCCTTCGTCGTTATTTTTTTCTTAACTGATTGTTCCGTGGTTTTCTGTCTGATCTGCCAAATTGCATTGAAATGACAAAATGAATTATGTCTCATGTGGTATGAAAATAAGTCTATGGACAAACCTATACAAAATGTACTCTTTATGGTAAATAAATAAATTAAGAATTGTTTTCTTAGAAACAATGACGTAATTATTTGTGGGGGGTTTTAATGAGTTTACTTGAAACATGCCCAGAGGATTTCACTAATCATTTCTAAACATATGTTCGATTTCAGGCCTCACCAGAGACTAACTAAGATGTTTTCATTCAACCTGAGAGATGACCTTAACTCTGGTCACTGGAATTACACCTGGGTACAAATATAAACACAGAATTCACTCTTGTCCTGCTAACGGTCCCAGGAAGACTGGAGTCAGTTCCAGCTGACTTCAGTGGGTGACTGTCAGGTCAGCAGTTCATCTCAGGGTCAACCAACAGAGGCTCTCATTCACCCTCACATTCTCAGCTTTATGGTCAGTTTAAAAGTCTCAAATCAACCTATCATTCACATTCTCTGGTAGTAAAGTGGATCCTGGGGTTTTGGAAGGAATCCACAGAAAACTCTCCCGACAGATCCAAAGAAGAAGGGAAAAAAACCCACAGAAATACAACGAGGAAAAAAACGTTTGAAAATAAACAGATGAAAAGAGAGATCCAAAATACACATGTACACAAATCTAAACATATAACTTTCGAACCAACGCATGCGCAGAAGAAAATAGGTAGAAAAAAGGTTTATTCGTTTTAAAGTATATCAAATTATTTCGTTATAAAGCCCTTGACTGTTATCTCTGTTAACTTTTTTTGCGAAAGGTCCCTAAATGCATCTTGATCGTCAGCGAGGCATGGCTAATCAATCACTCATCTGTGTCCTGTGATTGACACCAAAAAAAGTGTGTCCGATGGATTTGCAGATTTAAACGACCCGACTCTGTGTGTGTGCGCGTGCGCGTGCGCGAGGTTTAGTAACCATCGTACGTAATGTTCTGCAGTGAGAACCCATAACAAACAGACGAAGAACTTGGGCCACGTCAGGGAACAAGGTAGTTAGCTGTGGTTAGCATGGGCGACAGTGGTTCAACCTCTGGGATTGTCGTAAATGGATAAAGTAATGGATAAAGTAAGACAACAAAGATAAAATAATCAGAGAGTAGAGAACATGGAGAGACTGCGTCGACGAAGCTTTAGTGACGTAAGTGCAGACTTTTTTTAATTTAAATTTGCTGCCGCCTTGTGGAAATCAGGAGCATTGAAAAAGCACAATATGGTGAACGACTGTTTTGATTCTTAATCCTTACGTGTCTAGGTTTTAATCTAAACCCATTTTGTTCAGAGTTTGTCTCCTATGATCAGATCATGATCCTCTCCTCTCTGTCTAAACCTGTGAATGAATGTCAGTCGTGCTTTTCATTTTGGTTCCTTTATTCTTCACATGGAAAATACAAGGCGTAGGTAAATAATGTGATAGTCTGGTTATACTGCCACCTATTGGATGTAAATGATATAAATGACATTTTTATTTATTCAGCGTCACAGAGGACGCAGGTAGATAAACGACGTCTCTCCCTTCGTCCACGGAGTTTCCACTGGTTCTGTCTGTAGTCGGTGTTGTCTGGTCCTTTTCTGAGAAGATAAAAAAGAAAGTTACAGTTTTACTTGACGTAAAAACGGGGGCGCTGTAGAAACTGACTCAGGCAGAGGTGTTTATCTTCTATATCTCTAAAGTTTGATACTGAAGTCATTTTTTAAAGAGATGAACGTACATCATAGACGTGGTCCTCAAACAGGATGTCCATGGTTCCTGTCGCAGCGAGGTGGACAGTGAGGATTCATCCAGTTCTCCATGTTGGTCTCCTGGGCCCTCTGATCCAGAGCCTGCATGTGGAGCATGTGCTCCTGCACAGACAGGGAGACGGTCAGAGACAGGGGCAGAACAGTGGGTCCGTCAATACCTGAATCTATATTTTGTCACAAGCCTGGTCTCCAGTCTGTGCAGCTGTATCTGTGCTCTTCTGGGTGAACCTTACCCTCATTGGCTCATCAGGATGACCTGGTTTCTGCCTCTTGCTGCGGAGCAGCTGCTTAGCCAAGCTCTCCTTGATGACGGGATTAGCATCTGAACAGGAGGGAGAGAAAACTGAATAATCAGTCGACAGATCCTCGAGGACTATGGGGGATTTTATGTGATGTATATTATGTAAACTGGAGTATCAAATGTTTAAAATCTGCTGAGTGAGCTGCATCAGAGAGGTCCAGTGAGGTCCTTGGTTAAAATGCACTGCTATGGTTGGAGTCAGAGTTGGGTTTAAGACGGTACACTGCCATGGGGCTGTGTGTCTGTTTGACTTCCTGTCCTCCAAGGACTGGACCTGTGCTCCCGGTATTTTGTTTTGAGCAAACAACATATCAGCTGTTTGCTCAGTGGCTGAGGAAGGGCAGGAAAACATTCCTCTGACACAGAGCTGCGTTCAGACCCATGAATAGGTCTGCAATGATGACAAATATTGCTGATTTATTGATGTATTGTCCCACAAATGATTACTGATAAACAATAATATTGTCAACACTACTTTGAGACCAAATTAACCACTGATGGAATGATGATATATCATAGCATTGAATGCACTTTTCGAATGCAATGAAATACATTTCTTTTGAGTGTTTTAACAATTATTACATTTCCGATGGTACCTGAATGCCCCTGGTTACAGACTGGCCACTGAGTGTACCCCTAATAAATACATGTACATATATTTATATATATTTATATATGTATATATATTTAAACATATATATACATAGATAAATATATATACATATACACACGTGTATATATATATATATATTTATATATGCCAACACACATTAAGTCAGTCACTCCACTCCAAACGAGGAAAACAAATACCCGTGCACATGTCAGTTCATTGAGGCCGACTTCATTTATTGTGCAATCAATAGATTTATTGATTTATCTTCGCAGGCCTAACACACACACACACACACACCAACAAACGTGGTCAACCCCCCCCCCTGCCCTGGGACTCAGGGTGTTTGGATGGAGGTGTAACAATGTGTCCATTCATCCAGTCTGAGTAAACCATGGCAGCAACGTGGCGCAGAAACAGTGAAGAGAGTTTTATGACTTTGTCTGCAGATGAACCAGCAGGATTACAGTGGAAAAAAAGAATTTGACTTTGAGAATCTCCTAAACCAGACTATTAATCTGATAAACTGTATTTATTGATTGTTTTCTGAACAAACAGGTTTTTATTATTTGTTCATTTTCTCTCGTTTTAAAAACAGATACATTTCTCATTTTGGCAGACAAAGCCACAGTAGGATAGTGCAATAGAAAAACCACCAAGGTTAGTAAGACTTTAATCTCTATAATCTACGTGTTGACTTGTGTGTGAGAAAAAGGTTTGTAGAATCATGATCAAGTGAAACGGACATCAAATTCAACACTTTTCTCCTTCAGAAATGTTTCCTAAAAGAAATCCTGAGTCTGAAGTCATTCAACTAAACAGTTTGAAAACCAAAGCTAACTTGACTGTGATTTCTCATCTGTAAAACTGCTGCTATAGTCAGACCTCCAGACATTCCATCACACTCCTGCTTCTGACAGAACAGGATTGAAAATTGACATTTAGCTGACATTCTGTCTTCGTCTCCTACCAAAT